TCTTTTACCAGAGTTGCTGGCAAGGTTTTTAGCAACATTTTGTCAGAAACGGGGTTTGCAATGCTTAAGGGGTGCTGTGCTTCCCTCAGAGGTCAGCACTAGACAGCTTTTGTTTTTTAAATTGTAAAGCTACGCTGGTTTAACAAAGATTGCCTCCAGGACAGTAATTCCCATATTTACAACTCTTACCACAGAAAATGCATTTACCATGTTTATGAAAGTTACTTGAAGTAAATACAGCACCCTTGACTTTTGATGTCTTTTTTTCCCCTATCATTTCAACACTCTTTTGCCCTTTTGACTAAGTTAACAGCTTGTAACTCTTGCTAATTATTTGTCATGACCAGCGTTCAGTTTCACCCATTCTCAATTGGTTGATTTGGTCCATTTTACTCATTTTATGTGTTTTCTTTGAATGCTGTTTTCAAGCAGTTTTTTTATACATTTTGGAATTGATTCACATGATGTTGTTAATAATAATAATGCTGCTGCAAAGAGTTAAGAATCAGTAATAATTATAATCGAGTGTTTGGACTTACATGTATATTCCTCAACTTTTCAAAAGAGCTTTTTCATGCTGATGTCTTTTTTTTAAAGACACTAGAAGTCAGTCTTCCTCTCATTCTCACTGCACCTCAGAAAATCTGAGGAAATATTCTTTTGTCTTTCACAAAAACTGTCAAACAATAGAAAACATCATAGTACCTTTACACACTATCATGGCATTTTCTGTAGCCTGACCTCCGAAATATTGGTAATTATAGTTGGCTGTGCCTCAGTTCTGTACTATATTTATAAATTTAAATTTATAAATTTAAAATTATATAATATATAAATATTATATAATATTATATATACAATATATATAATATATATAATAAATATATAAATTTAAATTTAAATTTAAAAATATATTTGTGTTTAAAATGTGTTGTGCTTCAATAACGTATTTCTCTACACTTGGTGTGGCATAATACATTTATACAACAAAATACATTTTTATTTGTATTACAAATGTATTTTTGTTTTTTTTCTAGGTTATACACTATAATTTCCAAAGGGTTGAAATAATTTACCTTTTTTGTAGGAGAAATGTGTTCCACTCTCTTAAAAACCTGCATTTTTACGTCACGGAGTACGCTAAAGGAGCAGTGATTGAAATAATTGTTGTCAAGGAAGAATGTATTAAAATTATTAATAAGACTTAAACCCACATGAGACTTACTGAATCATCTGATCTGACCTAAATTCATGACCCTTCCTCCCAGTTCTTCCCTTCTCATACTTGCACAAAAATAGGAAGACCAAAAGGAGAAAAAACTGCCAACATAATAAAGGCCCATGAAAACTTGTACATTTGCATTAGGTCGACATAACATTTTATGATTATAATAATATAAACAAATAAACTATAAGGGCATGCACATCAGACCTCATTTCAAGCTGAACTATTATAAAGCGATTAACAGCCTCACAGTCCCGCTTTAATTAAGTTATGTTGTGAAATATTCAGCATTTGAACCTGTTCTGGCCTGCCTCTTTTATCATTGAATTACCATCCTTAATGTGTTTTTCTGCTGAAAGATGAATTTCATTTAAGGATTACTGTACATTGCTCTGGCATTTTGTGGTTTCTTGTCAGCCCTTGTGAATCTAGATCATTGCTAACTTCAGTTTTTCTGACATGTCCTATATGCACAGTCTCTTGGCTAGCCTGTCTCTATGGATTTATTAACTCATATTGTATTCCTGTAGAAATGAATGGACATTTTTGATTAACTTAATGATAGAAATTTCAGATGACAGTACAGTTTACTTTTGGAGCTTACTTCTGGTTATGTAGGCCACAGCAGCTCTCTAGTGACCTATCACTTCACAGAAATATGCTTTGAGAGTTTCAAGGCAGTGGACATCTGTCTGCCAAATACTTTCAGATGGTGCTAGCAAGGAGGGAATTGAAAGGGGTCTTTAAATCCACAGCCACAAACAGAGCTGTTCCTCCTTCTTGGAAGTGGTATTCAAATGTTATATTCCTCTTTCCTTGCTACATATTGAAGAGCCTGCCTTCAGGGAAACTCACACTACCAGGTGATTTGAGGAAGAGTTAATGAACAGTGCTCCAGTGAAGGGTCCTCCTTCCTTCCTTTCTAGCGCCGACCCCAGACCAAGGCTATGCAACTCACCGCAGCACCATCAGCTTTGGCAGTGCCTTTTCTCTTTCAGTTGTCAGATGAGCAGTCTGTGTTTTTGTTTTGGTTTTTTTTTTTGGGGGGGGACGATGACAGGAGGGATGGGAGGAGGACATGCAGAACAATATTATCATGTTCTCATGTTCTTTTGGCTAGTCATATCAATGTCCTCAGAGGGAGTTCACCAGATCTTGAAATGTGACAACAGATCAGATGGGTTTGTTTACTCCCACTATCCTGCAGAACTGTTTGTTCCTGGGGAGGAAGACAAGGACTTCTGATGCCATATCTGGTCTGATATGGATATGGATATTCCCCTTTTTGCCTGGGAATGGCACCTAGAGTCAAGAACTTCCAAAGAAAGTCTTTGCCCTGGCAAGGTGAAGGTTTGTTCAGACACAAAGGTTTGAGTAACATGGCTTGGGTTTCCCCACATTACCATCTGAGTGTTGTAAATTACACTCAGATCTGGCATTGATTGAAAAAATAGGTGATAATTTATTTGTGTGAAAGTAGTGGAAGGTCCATGCTCTTCCCTGTGCGGGACAAGTACAGAATGCATATTACTGCCCCCACAGCTCACAGCTCAAACAGGCCAAACAGAGCTGAAAAGAAGCATGTGGTGTTCATATCCATGGCTTGCAAAACACACAGTAAATAAGCTCTCTGTTAGTTGATAGGGACAAGCACAAGAGAAGAACAAGCAGATTCACTGAAAGTGAGATAAGATGAAGGTCAGACAAGAAGCAGGGGAAAGCATGGGACTGATTCAGGAGGGAAGAAAATTTTGAAGAAAAGAAGCGAGCAATGCAGGGAAAAATGCCTCTAGCATAAAAGGAGGATTGTGACAGAAATCATCCTGTTTGCTGTGTTTCTTGTAGACTGAAGTTCTGAGCTGGGTCTCTCAACCATTTATCTTACCCTAGATCAGGGAGGAGACACGAGGCCAGGAAAGCCTTGATGCTCTTGAATTGGACAGGTTAGAAATTCTGGTAGTGAGACACTGGGATGAGAGAGGAGGGTAACCACTGCAGGGGCTGTGGTGTGGCAGCTCTTGCAGCTGCTCCTCTGTGCTCACACAGTACCAGTGGATGTTGCCTTCCTGCTTTATTGAAACTACTGACCATGTTAATTCTTATGGAGCACTGTGTAATGCAGGGATGTGTCTTGTGTGTAAGACAGAAGAAATACAGGCCTTGTCCTGTCCTTATGGCTGCTGTATGTTCCTAATATATTGTCCTGAATGAAAGCCTTTGAACCCTAGAGACTTTGGTGTGGAAAATTCAGACTGTCCTTATTTTATCCTTAATTTCAGAAGACCTTTCCTTTTTTTAAAATGTAAAAAAAAAATTATTAGGGCTGATGTAAATGGAAGCTGGTGCTAAAATGAAGCATCCTATTGTTCTGTCGTTCCTGGAAAAGAGTTGGAGATAATTTCCTATACATGTTCTTGCTTTCTTAATTCACCTAAAACAAATCCTCTCCTAAGGCAGTGTCCCATAGTAGCAGCATGCACGTCAGGATTGTGTCATTGGCACACTCTGCTAGTTATGGGATTCCTCGTAATGCGTAAGAACAGCTGAGGAAATGTGAACTGGAACACAAGCAAACTGAGCTAAATCTAACTTTTCCCAAGTGAGGGCAAAAATTTGTATCTGGTTTTTGCGGTCTCTTGTAAGAATCTGACCTCTTCATTTCAGCAAAAACTAAAAGCAAGACTATGCACAAGAAGGTTTTGATGTACTGATCTTAAATGAGAGCTTTTCTTTAGCTAGCTTTGTGAGTAAGTTCCAGTTGTTTCTGCCAGTGTAATACACATTCTTGAAAGAAAAAGCATATGCTACGCCAGCAAAAGTGGTATTTTGTCTACATTAAATAGAAATGTTAGGGAAGAGCATGCTGATGTATTGTAAGGATGTAGCAATATCACCAATCCCTTTCTTCCACAAACAGGAGTAGCATCTCATGGGAGAAAATGAATGACGAAAAGGTCTTGCAAAAGTGAGGGTTAAAAAGCTTATGTTTGCACTTCAGGGGAAGTATAAAAATAATGCTTCTCATCATCATTTCTAGTTAAGGATAAAGCGTGCTTAAGCCTTGTGCCATGATCCATCTGAGGTCTTGAATTCTGTGTAAAGAATGAACTGGACTGTGTAAAGAATTAACAGGATAAAGGCTAAATGGAAATTCTGACTGATGTAGGGAGATACAAAACCTACCAAAGCAAACATGTTTAGAGCAAACTAGGAAGCTAGGTAACTGTTAATAAACTAGCTTTACACAATGCCCTAAAATACACCTAATTTACTCTGCCTCATCTACAATTCAGTTAGCAGCACAAGGTTATTTTAATATAATACAGAGATCAGAGACTAAAAAGTGCTTGTGGGTACAGGAGCAAAGGCTTCTCAAAGAGAGAGGAATACAAATACTCGCTCACAAAATTCTTGGGAAGCTTTTCTTTTTTTTTTAATCAGCATTGCCATTTTATTGTTTAACCTACCCTGCTCGATCTCCCTACTTTTGGTTAATACAGGAGTCAATTACAGCTTCATCTGTGCAGAATTAACTTTATAGAATATACACTGGGGATTTGTCTATCTCCTCTATTTAGATCTATGTCATAAAAAAATATGTAGTAGAGAACTGTGTGCAGCGCTGCATATGGTACAGGCTTTGCAGATTTATTGTAAAATCATTTTAAATCGGTTAAGCTCTTGCCAGAAGTTAATTAAATATATTCCTTTGGTGGGGGGCGGGGGGCTCTGTGTGTGTGCCGTGTCCGGGGGGCGGGGGGCTCTCTTTCACTAGGTGGCAGTGTCTGATTACATCTGGAAGGACCTCGCCAGCCAGCCGGGTGGCTCCAGCTGTGACCTCCAGCGCCAGCATGAAATGCCCCACGCCGCAGCCATCTGGGAAGGCAGCACCACTGTCCACGTCTGTGTCTACACGGTTCACCTCAGCGGCTTCCAGGAGCTCCACAGGCGCTTCCTCAGGCTGCCTGATGGGGCTATCATCGAGGTAGGTCCGAGCAGGCTCCTCGCTGCCACATTTTGGAGGCAAAGGGATGCATTGCAGAGCTAGGCACAGCCAAAAGAGGAAAATAGGCCGTGCCTGACCCTGCCTGAAATACACACTGAAAGCTGTAGGAAGACCTCACTCCTGAAGAGAAGTGTATAATCAATGAGTTAATGCTTTTGCAGTGCAAAGTAGCAATTTCGGATTGTTTATAGAGCCATTTAAAGGCAATTATGTAAGATATACATTGAAACTACACACATAGAGATTATTTATAAATATATATCACTTAGAACCACATAAGGTCATTCTGTACAAGAATTATTATATATATATATATATATATATATATATATATATAAAAATATACAAGGTAAGAAATGTGCACAATTTAACGGGCAGCTATTACTACAAGTATGGCCATTCACTTAGTTTGTACTCAGATTCACAGAGTTAAGGCACAGTTAGACTACCTACTGGCATCTTGTATGTTTTAGATTGAATCTTGGATGTTGTCAGCACTTCAGCAGCTTGTGCACTAAAATACAATACAGGATGTTATTAAAGAGATGTATCACCCATTACTTGTTTCATGGGCTGCATTTTGTTCATTGCTTTGCCATTTTTGTTCTAAGTGCTTTGAAGAAGAACATTTCCTTTTTGCCTTTGGTCTTGTGTTGAGAGACTCTTAAAAAAAGATTGGCATTTAAGAGAAAGTAGAGTCAAAGAATATTACCTTGCCTACCCAGATAAGAAGTGGGAGCATCATCACAGAGAACTTGGCACAAGTGATGATGAAACACAATGTTTTCATCTGCACACTTCTAAGGTGAAGATTTGAATACGTCTTTCCAGCATGAGGCAAACATTGCATTCTGCTCCTTTGGTTACTGGTTCAAGGCTGTTTTCTTCATTAAAGATTTTGCTCTTAATGTCTTTGCCCTACTTGGCTTTTTAAAGAAAATTTAATTTAAAGGAAACTGTCCTCAAGGATTTCAAACATAATTTTCTGCCTGGGGAACTTGTGATTCACCAGAGTGAAGACACCAGAGTCTTCAAGCTGGCCAAAGAAAACAAGAGAAGGCATGTGGCCTACATGAAGTAGAACCCAATTACTGGAACAAAGAAACTGGCAAATCCAGGTGCCCAAATCTGTTGAAGAAACTCCTAATGTGAATAATTGCCTAGACTTTTGCAAAAACACCTTTTCCATGTTGGAGGTCAACCAGGCAGCCCAACTCCTACTTTCTGCCTGTTACAAATGTACCTTTTTGCAGAATGGTTTTTCCCAGTTACATTTTCCTCAGCTTTTCAGTGGTGAGATTTAATTCAGCTTCCACCAGGCATTGGAAGGAGGGTCTTTGAACACCTGAGGCAATCCTAATCCAGTGCCCTGTTTCAGTTCATTAATGTGAATCTGTTTTGTACTTCTGAGAGAGAAGAAATGTGTTGTCATATGAGGTAGCTTTGTCTTCCCAGGTGAGCTTTTGAGAAGCTTCCAGCATCCACAAAGTAAGCAATGTATAATGTGGATAGCTGAAGCCACTTCTCCTTAGTTTCCCACACCAGATCATAACATAGCCTATCCCTAAAATTCATGACTGAGTCTTCCTCATTGTCTTGAAAGCTGCACATCTAATTTAGGAGATCAATGCATGCTTTACAGCATTTTTACTTGTAGATCTAAATGCAATTACATGTAAGAAATGTGCTTAACTAAAAATTGCAGTAAAGCCCATATACAGATCTTACATTTAGCTGATAACAGATGTAATTATACATTTGTGTGTTTTATAGGTCAGGGCTTTCTACTTCAGTTCCAAATTAGGAATATTTAATGAATTTTAAAACTATACACTGACAAATGAGAAGTTTGCTGCCATGGGGAAAAATACACCTGAGCTTTACTACTCTCTGCTGTTGTCACCCCTCAGGAACTTTATTTTCTTTTTACCCTTTACTGCAGCTAGACAAGCAGGGGTACTTGAGTGGGGCTAGAAAATTGTTTTGGAGCTGAAGGGTGCATTGCAATGTTATGTATAGTTTGTAAAAGTGTAGGAGATGAAAGGCAGCTGGGCTTCTTGGAATAATATTTTCAGTTTGCTCCCTCTGTTGACAATTTGTTGTGTATAAGCACTTTCAGTTTGGCTATCTAGAGCTAGTTCTAAAGACTCAGGTGATTTAGTTAGGTAAACCTGGTCTGTCATAGGGTCAGGTAAACTAAATTTTGCTCCCAGTGACTCAATGGAAAGATTTTTCTGGATCCCTATAATCTGTTTGGTCAGAAGTCTCCTGTTATTCTAAATTTAATCAGCTTCCATTGGATCATTCATTGGTGTAAATAAGATTTCCCTTTACTAGAAATCTACCTACATAATATAATTTCATAATCTTACCTGTTTTATTCTGAAATGGGTACAACACCTCATCAAAAGAAACAAGATGAGTTTGCATTTTGCTTTTCATTCCTCTCCTCACTTTTCCAGCAATGGTGAAGGAGGGAAGGCTTTTCTTCCACACTGGTGAGGGCAGAGAGTATGATCTATTCTCTTTCCCTGTCATAGGAGACCGGGAGACTTCTAGGACATTCTGTCATAAAAATGACAGCTGCCTTTCTTCTTTCTTCATGATCAGCAAGCCTCTTTCTCCTCACCAGAGACTAGATATTTGTATGAAATGTTGTGTTGGGACTGTGGGAACACGACCTGTAAGAACAGGGGTGGTCTCTGGCAATTGTGACCTGCCCTACCTTTGTATATACATCTATCTCGTCTGCAGTGTCCACAGAGTAAGAAAACAATCAGTTTTCACTCATTTTGTTCTTCTGGATGGGCTAGTGCTCTGTACAACTGCAGAATGCAAGGAGAAATTCAGCAGCATCTGGGAACTGGGGGTTACATGCACCTTCTTCCTGTGAAACCATCCTCCTTCTTATTGCAGTGACATATCAAAGATGAAAATGTAATTATTTCAGTGTAAATTTTTGCTGGTTTGTTCACTTTTATTGAGGAACTCTGAAGGCATGTTAATCTCAAGGCAGCAAAATGAAAAGACTTTGACTTTTAATTTCTGTAAGTTTCAGGAATCACAACTGAAAGAGCCATAACATTTGTTCCTAAATACTACAGTGGAACCTCATGAATTTAGGCATTTGGGGACTAAGATCTGTCCATCAGATGTTTAATGCTTTGTGCCATTTACAGCATGATGGGTAGGTGGGTTTTGGTGGGTATTCTTCAAAAATAAGATGTTTAATAGGAGGAAATGAGCGATTTGGCAGAAAACAACACAGGAATTATAATTAATTTGAAAAAGTATGTGCAAATATAGGCATTGTTCAGAGGGCACCACTAGCATAAGCAGTATATTCTTGCATTCAGCTAATTGAGGGGTGTGTGCAGGCTGGTGAGATCTGAGGCAATGATTCTCTTGCCAAACCCAGGAACATGAGAAGAGCACTGAAATCACCAGGCCAAATTCTACCTCAGGTTCATGTGTTCAGCTCTTGCTTACTATAACTTCAGATATGTTTCTGTATCTGCAGATATTCTTTGACAGGCATAAGAGGAATTTTGTATAATCTTGCTGTGAAGTCCTTGGATGCTCATAAGGAACTCACTTCATATTTACAGCCTCATCCTACTCCTTTATACTTCAGTAAAAGCAAGATTCAAGATTTTCTCATAGCCCTAATCCAGCAAATTACTTCAATGTGAACCTAATTTTATTCAAGGAGCCAAAACTCACTTTAATAATAATTACCTTTCTTTCTTTTTTTTTTTTTTCCCCAGCAAGCAAAGCCAGTCTGCAAGTACTGTGTACAGAAGGACACTAGCTAGGAATAAATGTCCTCTAAGTAATAGCTTCTTTAAAATACTTATTTCTTTTTGTGTGGTATTGCCATTAAAGGTCCAGATTTCCTGGTATAGCTAGAAATTTCATGTCTGGTATGAAAAGTAGTTTTATAGGTTTCATAGGGATGAGGTAAAACTAACTGTTTTAAAAGGAGCGTTAAGTACAAGGTGACATGTATAAATTGCCCTAGAAATGTTAAATAAAAAGATTTTTTTTGAATGTGCAACATAAAAATTATAGAGGTTAAACTTGTAGGTGCAGTCTTTTTATCATAAGCATTGTAAAGCTCACAGAATTCACATGCAGTAAAAACCATTTTCCTTTTTACCTATATTTCCCCTTTATAGTAATTCAATTTAACTGTTGGCTAACCAAGGAATGACCTTCCCAAAATAAATCACTTTTCATGCTTTTCGGTATTCATTAATCTGATGTTATTGTAATATAAAGGAAATTATTGAATTTTAACATTTTAAACATATTTGAAATCGATGCACAGAAAAGTTAATGGTGGTGGTACGTGTTTGCTGTCTTCGTGGTGATAACGCCAACTTGGTGATTTTTATCTCGACTTTTGCTGACTGGAGTTGATTTCTTATTAAAAGGGCAAAGATAAGTCACTTTAACTCAACAAAAAATCGGTTTCTTATTATAGGCCTAGTAAACCTCAGCATTGTAGGGGAAGTTTTTGTATAGCATGATTTTATCTATCAAATAAGCCTTCACAAATGTCAAGGATTCATCCAATTTAAACTTACTGGATAAAAGAGATCTGTTTTCCCTAATTACTTGAAAAGTACCTAGCAGTAATAGGATAAGACAGCGTAGGTGACTAGCCAATTACTTAGTTTAAGCTATTTACATCAATCCATATGCTATAAATTATGTCTAAACCCTCCTGCACTTCTGGAAAAGTGAATAAAATCATATAAGTTTATTTTGAATACAAGATCAGATATGGTATGCTGAGTGACACTTAAAAAGAATGAAACTGTAACCGTAGCTTATTTTCTGAAGCAATCTTGACACTAATGCTAAATTGCAGCTTGGAAACATCTAGCATTTTTACCTTTATGAGAAAAGGCTTTTTACATATTTAACATAATTCTAGGGAAAATATACTGGAATTATGTATAAAGATATGTACACTGTAACCAAAGGGCATTTATAGTCCCCAGTAGAATACTTACAACAATTTTATTGCCATTTGGTGTCATTTTCTAACAGATATAAAATACAGCCAGTAAACAAACTAGACTTTAGATTTAAGCTGACAGCTGTTCCTTCAGAAGCAATATTCAGATATTTAATCTTAAGAATACTGAATATTTTACAATTGTTTGAGCAAACTATACTTTTAGCATGTGAAGGACTGCATGCTTTTATATACAGTTCTTGGATCTGATAATGACACTAAAAAACAACCTTAGAATAATCTACACATTTGTTGCTCTCTTGTATTCCCTGGGCAAATCAACAAATTGCCTCATGTTTTATTCTTAATTCCACAAATTCTTTTTTTTATACACAGTGTTGCTATGAATATTGGGCCCTATTTTTTTTCCTGTGTGCATAAGCCATGCAGTTGACTCCAGCACAGTTTATACATGGATGTGAGTGCAGCTTTTTCTGGCCTTAATTTCATTAAAGCAACAAATTCGCCTATTTACTACAAAAGCCCCATGTGGTATTTTCATGAAGAGTCTCACTTCAGTGGTCACTAAAGGTCTATGGAGGAGAGAAAGAGGGAGGATTGCTCCAGATCAGTACCTGAGGTTGGTGCCCATCCTCATGACTTCATCCTCATCTCACCAGACACTGGGAGGGAACAGCACAGCTCTGGCTTTTGTGTGAGGATGTTCTGGCTGGGAGAGAGGCTGGGCAAAGGTAATTACTTGGTGTAAACTGACCCACTTTGGATGGCTTCAGCAGCTTCATGCCAGGTCATCCACAAACATGGCCTATTCAAACCAACCATGACTTGATTTCCTGGAAGTCCCTATAAAAGCAGGGATTAACAGGAGAGGTTTGTCCCACAGAAGAGTGATTAAGGCATGTAGGTGTGTACATACTTGTGGGGTGAATAGGCTTTACCACATGCTGCCTGCCTAATTCTGAGATTTAATCTTGTCCCGTTAAAAATGCAATATATTTTGCAACTGCATTCAGTGGGAGCATGATCTCTCTCAACATGCATTGAGGTTCAGTTGGGAATCATACATTTTACCAGCTCAGCTAAGGGATACTCCCATGGACAAAGGCAATTGGATCAGTATATCCTGCAAACTTACAGCCCTTTTGTCCAGGGTTGTGGCAGTATAGCAAGTTTCACCTCAAATAAGAAGTAAACCAGACTGTTTTAAGTTATTGCTACCAGTATATATCTCTCCTTTAATGTTATAATTATATTCAAGGTAATCAGTTTAAGAAAGAAAGTAGTTGTCCAGGCAGCTCTTTTCATCTCACTGAAAAGATGAGAATAAGGAAAAGAGATTTCCTGGAGAAATCATGTGCTTGTATGCTTTGTTCTGAAACTGATCCAGCCCATCTCACATGTGACATGTAAACCCTGTCCTGAAATGGACCCAGTCTGTTGCTCCTTGCCCTAGTGGTGGGTAAGCCAATCCCTCTGCTGCAGGTGAAGTGTATGAGCATGTGTCTCAGCTGAGCAGGAGTTATTTCTCCATATCTTCTGTTTCAGGTTGTTTCCATGTGAAGTAAAAGATTAGGTCCTTGCCTTTTTTCAGTAAATTGTGGTATAGTTTTAAATGGAAGCTGTGTCTATTAACTGAGAATCTGTGGTCAGGACTACGTTGCAACAGGATGGAAATGCAGGAGGCAGCCTTGCAGCATGCGGTCATTTCCACCCTCCCTGGTGTTCTACAAATCTCAGATTTGATATACTCTGTACCCCAGAAAGTCATAGAGTCATGTGGAAAAAGATGTCTTTCCTCCAAATGGCCATGTCCTGCTTATCCATGCTGCTGTCTGTGCTCTGATAGGAGGAACAGGAAAGAAATGAGACAAGTCCACTGCTGGACATTTTTAGCAGGACTCATTGGCTTTCAGAGAACTAAAAAATTACTGAAATACCAGAACTACAGCCTTATAGTCTTGTTCTGTATATTAATATTCAATTTTAAATTATACTGGCATCTTTTTTGCTTGCAGAGAATGTGGGGTGAGGCTCAAGGGTTGCCTACCTAATCAACACATACACAAATATATTGTGCTAATGGAAATTTTAATTTCTTTTTTCTTGGGGTTCTGAAGAATTAGAACTCTTTCCCTCAGTTGCAGAAGGAGTGGCAGCAAGTTCAAGCACACCCATTCAGTCTGAGCCAGTGCTCAAGGGAAAAATGCTGCCATCACTCTCTAGTTGTATTAGCTAACAGCAGTGAGGATAATGAAGGGGTACTTTAAAAGCGTTATTTTGTATTAAAAAAATACATCTTTCAGTTTCAACTCACTTTCAACACCAAGATTTGCTGTATTTTTAGTGATTTTCAGAACAATTTTATGCTGAAAGGGCAGAGCCACTGATTGTTGCAGAAGGTATTTTGTGCTTTTAAACACTTATAATCTTTATTCATCTATCACAGTTTTACCTGAATCAGCAGTAAAATCTCTGAAGTCAAAGGATAATTGCCAAAACAGCATTAACTTACTTCATCTGAATAAAAAAATAACCTTTGAAAAAGTACCTTGCAGCTACACAGATTGACAAAATGCATCAATTATATTTTTGCTCACTTTATAATTACACTGCAGTAAGTGCACAGTGAACTTTACTACATGGTTGATTAACCATAAGGTTACTGCTATTAAGTCACTCTCAGAAACAACAACTTGGACTTTAATTTAAGAACATAACTCTGCACAACATCTGATCAAGTTTAAAAATCTGACATATCTATACAAGCTTCAATTTGAAGTTCACAAGTAAATGATAGCATTTTAATGTAGCAAAGGGTTCCTATTGCTTCAGTCAGACATGCTGGGTATGTGAACAATCAGGTTTGGAAGAGCTCTTGGTATGTGTTAACCAGCACCAAAGGAAAGGCTTTTCCAGTGAACTCTGAATATCCCCTGTATCCTCGTTTTTCTTGCATAGAAACAAGTCTTATGAAGAGCAGGGGAGGGAGCTGGGGTTGTGTAGCCTGGAGAAACAGAGAAAAGGGGTGATCTTACCCCACTACAACTGCTTGAAAGGAGGTTGTGGCCAGGTGGAGGTTGGTTCCTTCTGCCAAGTAACAAGCAACAGGACAAGAGGAAATGGATTGGGTATTCGGAAAAATTTCTGGAAGGGTTTTCAAGCACTGGAAAAGGCTGTCCAGAAAAATAGTTAAGTCCCTGGAGGCATTTAAAAGACATGTGGGCATGGCACTTGAGAACATGGTTTAGTGGTGGACTTGGTGGACAGCTTATGGCTGTACCAAATGGTCCTGAAGGTCTTTTCCAAATCTACCTAAATGATTCTAAAAGCTTTTGGGGAATTATGGTTGCAACTCCACTGATGATATTTCCACGTATTTTTTTCAGATTATTGCAACTGGAAAAATATTTCTGTTTCTGTTAGCTCACTGACACTGTAGGCCTGTCTCCTGTCTTCTTGACTTTGTATAATGCAAAACTGTTGCTATGAAGTCCTACCATGATGTTGTATCTGTTTTTGACCTGCCCTGATATGTGTTTATGCCATGAGAGAAACAGCTTTAGACAACCTAAAACTGAACTATCACTTAGTTTGAAAGAATAAAACTTAAAATAAAGTAGCAGCTGTTCTGTGAGAAGAAAGAATAGCCTGGTACAGAGAACCCTGCCTAGGATGTAGGATGCACAACACCCTTCCAGTATTTAGTCTCAACTTTTTATGTGAGGTGGTGCATACTTACTATGTTGCCTGTTTCCCTCTGTTCCTGGGGTAGCAGCAGACAGAAAATAAGAATATGAAAAAAAATACAATAGAAATTACTGACTATTCCCTTACATGTACCTGTGTTTGGAAAATTTATTATAGCTGTGCTAAACTAGATTGAGAATAGTAAAATTCTTTAAAATATTACTAGATGACTGTCTCAACCTGCTTTTTCATGCTAACATTTGAGTAACAGCAGCTAGACAGAGCTGAGCTCAGTTACTTCTCAGTATCTGAAATCTGATTTCTGTTCAAATTCTTCAGAGCAAAATTTCTCTTTTATGGGCACTCCAAAATATGAAAACAGTTGGAGTCAGGGCATTCTTGTGCAAAATGCCACCCACATGACACAAGCTGAGCAGCTGACATGTGATGTGGTAGCTACTAATGAAGAGAGCTGAGTGTGATGCAGTGCCTTGGCTTTATAACCAATTTCCAGTCCTATAACATCACCTCCTCATGGCCATGATTTCCTTCTTTGAGTGTATATTCTTTATTCATTCAAATCTTCTCCATGTGTCAAGAACATCATAAGGAGAAATTATGAAAAGCAACGAGTGTAAAAATCCCCATTCCATTGTTTTACTAAAGCATTTAGAGTGAGAAAAATTAGGTGAATTCACATTTCACATATGTTTAAATTGTTAATCTCACTGCTCTATCTGTATTAGTGAATACATTTACAGTAAGTTTTACTTTATAATATTTTGGCAGAACTGTTAGAAAAATTGTCATAAGCCCAGGAGTGGAACTGAACCATGAAAGCTAAACTGTAAGCTTCTGCAAAGCTGGGTTATTAGTATGACAGAATAAAATTTCACACACACAAAAGCTTCTAAGCTGTGATATTTTGAAAGCAAGAAGGGAGGGACGGGGAAGGGTAATCAAAGTCATCTATGTTCTCTCTGATACTTCACTGAATGCTGCCATAATAATATGTTGGTTTTGTCTGTTCTGTTTTTCAGGCATTTGGTGATGTTGGTGAGGAAAGCCTTTTGTGTAAAGTGAGCACAGACCAGGAGCGTAAAAGGGAAAAGTACAGTGTGCTGAGTGCATCTACATGTATCAAGCTGAGGGAGAGGAAAAAGAGTACAGCAAGGTGGAAAGGTATTATTTTCAATTTCTATACCTAGATGAAAAACCTAACAATCCTGATACCTAAGCATAAAATGTTGGGAGGGGTAGAAAAAAGCAAATAATTTTAGAACAGTTTCTTTTGGGAAAGCTAAGGTGTGATCAGTGACAGCTGAAATTTCACAGTTGTGTTTTCCAATGTGTCTTCATCCCTGGGTAGTTTCATCAGCTGTTGCAAGAATCCTGAAGACTGAAGTGCTGTCCTTTACCCAAACACTGTCACACTTGTCATTCAGCATCCTAATACAGTAATATAATCCAGAGTGATCTAACTTAGGCAAGGATTTAAATTATGTTGAGGGCAGGCTTAAATCAGTTATCGTATATATATATATATATATTTAGGTATGTGTCCAGACATATTGGACTAAGTCCAAAAGTCCAAATCTCTCAGACTTGTATTGTGTTTCCCACCGTGCATTGAGAGCCACTGGCCCCCTCACTGTGCCTAGGGAAGTACATGCAGGGTGGAACATCTGTGTCAAGTTTCCAGTGAAGTTGCTCCTGACCAAAGGTAATATCAGGGTGTTTGATGACAGAGTGCTACAGAATGTGCTGGGTGTCCTTAGGCATCACTGTTATTATGAGATATCAATTTCCTCATGTTGCTTATCAAAGCTCATTGTAGCTGGCTCCACAAATGAGTCCTATCACTGTCGGTTTTCCAATGCCCTCTAAGGAGTAAAATTCAGTTAAAAGCACCTTGTGTTACTTTTAAATTTACAGTAATCTTATTTGCTAACAGAAATACTTTGGAAAGTTCACATGAGCACAAAAGACACTTTCTTTTTTTAGGGAACCTGGTAAATTTAGTGTATGGGCTCTTGCTCTATATCCCTCTTGTTTGGGGGAGGGAGGTCATACATTATTGCTGGTGTGTTTGCATCATGTCTTTCTCTACATCCTTTATTCTAACCTTCAGGAAATCGCATTGTCCCTGACAAGAGCTAGTTTCTGCAGTAACACATGGCCTGTGGAGTTGTTTACATCGTGATCCACATCCATGGTATGGCTACTGTCTGATGGGATTTATGTTTCTGATGGCTGCATTTCTGCCCATGCAGCGTTGTCCTGCGAATGCTCCCTTTGTAGCTCTTCTGTGGCTTCAACAAGCTGTGCAGTGTGGTGAATTCACAGGATCAGATCACAGACTGGATCATGAAAACATAATTATTTCATGTGACTTTTTCTCCCTTCACAGTTGTGGGACATTGCTAGATTTCTCAGGTTTGCTTGTTTCTCCTTTTTCAGCTTTGCTTGTGCATGTTAGCTGCAGTGGAGAAAATGTTGCTGATTTGTCTTTCAGGTTTCATGACTAAAACATTAACAATTTTCAGTAATTATTCCAAGTGCAATGCTATTGTAATTGCAAGACTGTGACAACACCCAGAAGAGGAGCAATGATGACTTCATCCACCAGTTAGCCAAATCCCAACATGCTGCAAAACTTAAAAGATCCGAGAAACCATTTTTTCTGAAGCATTTGTGGTGGCCATATCCTGCTTTCCTGTGAGCTACAGCAGCTTAAAGCATCCTGGAGTTTATGTTCATGCTTTCTTAGAAGTATTGAAGTTAGAACCCGTCAGTTCTCTTTAGTTAGAACCAGTCAGTGCATATTCTATTTGCCTCCATACAAATGTTTCAGAAATTGTCCATGCCTCAAAGGCAAGAACTATGAGAGACAACAGAAGAGAGTGGGAAGGGAAACACAGGCAAGAAAGATGAAATAATTTGTGCAAGGCCATCTAAGTCAGAGACAAATAGGAGAAATACAGGGCAAACTGCCAGCATCCTGATTCAGTCTTCCCTTTTTGTCCTGAAAATGAAGCTAGAAACTGGAAGAAACTTACCTTACTGCTATTTTGAATAGTTTATGTAGAATTCTGTAGTCAAGGTAGTAATCAGTGACATTTTTTTAGCATGTTATGATTTTCTGGTGTCTCCTTGTTCACACTGATATGGTAAAAGTTTTTTCAGATGCATTTATCTTTGTAAGATCTTACTCAGTATTTTGAGCATCATTGATTAATAGCACTACTTAAATCTATAGTTCTCATCCACCTGCATAAACATTAAATTACATTAGGTAGTAACCTAAAGGTTTAAATGTCACTTCTGAGCACAGTTTTAGTTTGGGAATACAAGGTTTGGTTTCCACCTTGTTACTTGTTTTTTTTTTTTCTTTTTTTTCCAGTTTATTTGTGTGGGTGTGCATATGTCTATGGATATTTTATGGCTTATGCCCAGGCAGAAATGGTGTTAAAAAACTTCTGAATATCTACAAGAATTGATGTGTTTTTTGTGGCTTTTTTTTTGCATAAGATATTACTTGGATTACTTCTCTCTGTCATAACTGGAATAAAATTGCCTTTTAATGTTTGCTTTGCCTGTTGACACTTTAAACTTTTCTACATAACTTTGGAAAAGAAACTAGCTGAAGAGAAACCATCCAGTAACCTATTGCAGTTTCTGGGTGACAGTACCAAGATGCTTTGGGCAGTATCTTACTATGTGCATCTTCCTGGCCTCGGTTTTGCCTTTCAGCATGACTGACTATAATGGTAAAATCCCTTTGGCCAGTATTATACCCTGAGTTTCTCACCACTGAGTTAAGATATCCCAGTCTGGTTCTGTGAGATTTTAACTTCAGTGTTCTTAATACAGTGTTGGAATTTAGTCTGATGGTGGACTGACTTTATGTGTGGAACCACCATAGCTTAAGTTCTGATAGGACTGTGTTGATTTTTCTGACAAATGTGGATCTAGTACTGAAACTTTGTTCAGCATGAAGGACTTGACTGACCACTTTTATTCCTCCAGTTATATTGGAATGTCTCCACTGACTTTCATTTGATATAGGTTGTACAATTCTGTACATTACATATTTGTGAAAGTTGAATTTAAGGTATGTTTAAATATTAGACAAATTTACCTTATTTTTTTAATGTAGCATCCTACCTATTAATTTTGTTTTGATTACTTGCATCTTATGAGTTTCCATGTTTGTTGGTCAATGTGCAGTGGGTGGCGTTGGCTTTGAAATTGTTTTCTGAAGTGCTCTTATCAGCCGCATCATCCATAATGCTCAGTTGTAGTTGGATAGTAATTGCCTGTCTTTGCAGTGTTCCTTTGCAACAATTTTCTCCTGTGTAGCTATATATATGTAGTCATTACTGAAAAGTGTAAATAAAGAATCCTTTTAGTGGTGTAGTTTCCCTGGGTACCTACTGTGCTCTTATTATCTAAAACATACTCCCCATCTGTAGTTCTGTTCTATTAAAGGATAAAGACATAACTATGAATTAAAAATTAAAATGCTTGTTGTAGATTGGAGAGCAGGATCTATTAGAATATATCTGGTGCTAGGCTTCCAGTACAGTAGATAGATTACACTGAGCACCAGTTAAGCAAGGGGATGAAAAATGAGTGATTTTCATCATTCAGTTAAATATAGTGCTAAGTGGTATGTGCTAGCATTAAAAGCAAATTACTTAGCACTTCACCAATCACAGCATGAGAGCATTCCATTGGAAACAGTATTTTCAGTGATGCTCAGTCCTCAGTTTTATTAAATAAATCCACTGTTAATGCTTAAGGAAGCAGTAGAAGACATATTGCTATGATAATAAAAAGATTGAAAATGTAAAAATAAAGAGAAGCAGTACCTCATTTTAATAAATGTGCTAAGAAATCCTCCCTCTCTCTTAACAACAAAATTCCAAAGTGCTGGTAGATCTATAATTTCCTGTACTTTCTTTAGGTCTCTTCCTTCCTTCCTAATGAATGTGACCTTTCCTTTTTTTTCCTTCTTTATAATGACATCTTTTTTTCTCATAAATCTGCTGCCGTGTCACTGAACATTTTGATGAGCTTCTCTGATTCCCTCTTATATCTCCTTGATAGGATATTATTATCCAGTAATCTAAAGATGGGGAGCCTGATCCTCAGCAAAAGTACTTTTTGGCTGCTCGGTTAAAGACAGTGGAGATGTGAGAATTTACAGCACAAGAGGTTTTGACGTGGTTTTTGGCTGCCTTTATATCATGTAGCAACATTTTTCCTCCACAGCAATGAGCATTGGAAGACACTCAGATCTGTTGTCTGAACACATGGAAGATGTGAATAGTCATAAACCTTTCTGAGTCTCAAACCATTCCTAAGCCACTGCCGCCTCCCAAACAGGAGTCAGGAACTACACAAAAAAAATTCTTGGGAATGACACATACAGGAGATGGTCCAAGATCTGAGCCACAGATTGATCTTCACCAGCTAAATCAAATGTTAGAAGGACTTAAAATTACAGTTCAGCTGTAAAAATTACAGGATCAATGAGCCTACACATGAAGCTATTTTGAGTCCTTCATTTTCCCTGTAGTGACATCTTTGGGGAATCCTGTTCTGAGTTTTCTCTCACAACTAGTTTTGAGGGCTGTTTTCTTTGTGTTTGGCTGACATGGAGTCCATTTCCTTGTGGCAGTCCTCACAGTGCTGTTCTTTCCACGAGCAGCTGGAAAGGTGCTGCTTTGCAATGCCGGTGCCATTGCTGGGGCATGCTCGCACTCTTTCTCCAACATCCTCCTCCTCACCTGCAGGCGGGGCATGGGCAACAATTTGGGTGAGGACACAGCCAAGACTAAAACATTGACATTGACATTTTGGTCGAAGAGACCAAAAGGATGTTCCAGATATTCCATACCCTATGGCACCTGCTCAGCAATAACAGCTAACAGAAAGCAGGACAAAAGGGCGGCATTCGGTATTTATGACATTTGTGTTTTGGAGAAACTGCTGCAAATACCGAAGCTCTGTTTCCTGAGAAGTGGCCAGGCGTTGCCTGCTGATGGGAAGTAGGGAATAAATTCCTTGTTTTCCTTTGCTGGCAATTTATCAAGCTGCCTTTATTTTGACCCATAAGGGATTTTTCTGTTTTATCTTCTCCTCCCCCTGCTCCCTGCTATGGAGAAGAGTGATAGAGCAGCTTGGTGGGCATCTGATGTCCAGTCAAGGTCAACTCACGGATAAAGAGAAACATGTAGGAAGTGATGTAGTTCATCTCTTTTTAGTACAAATGTTGACTGGAGGTGTTTTAGTTTTCTTGTGGCCCTAAGTTTCTGGGGTTCTACAGAAATTATGTGATCTTCTCAAAACAGGTACACTTTCCACTGTTGCTTAATGTGTGCTTAATGTTTTAGTGAAGTCAGTGTATTCTACTACATCAGAAGTCCTATTTGTTGATAGTGTAGGATAATGATATTAGACCTGAAAGAAATATTTTGCAAAATCTAGACCTATTTCAAAAAGTTTCCTTGTGAAAAGTCTCCTTTAAAAAAAAAAATAAATTAAAAAGCAAGGCATTTAAGCAATGCTTTCTTCCTTTCATGAAGTAGACTTTTTATTCTCATTTCCCTGTCTTTTTTACTAAAATATAGACTCCAAAATTGGCCTTTCCCCCTGCCCTGTTTTACTAGAGCTTTATTCAAAGTACTTCTTTAAGCCTTAGCAGATTTTCTTTTTTTTTTTTTTTAACCAATGGAACCTTTCCTTCTCAAAATATTTGAGAACATGATATTTAACATAGATTTCAAAACATGGAATTGCTTTTTTCATTTTCCTGGCTGGCATATAATGGTTCTGATGCATCTTTCCTGGTATGCCAATCCTGTCATATACGCTAATATGAAATAATGACACAAGGTTGACTTAACTAGACATAATAGGGCATTTTTCTAAAACATTCTGTTTGGGAGGTATATGCACAGACCTTGCTACTTGTTAAAGAAATTGGAAAACTTCTTCATCTGAACTATGACATATATTTATAATAGCCTCCTACTCCAAAGGCATGGGGTCTTTACACAATAAAATAATAAAAAATTTAAAAAAAAGGATTTTTAAAAATCATCATGTTTAAAATGAATTTTAAAACTTCACCATTCACAGTAAATTTGGAGCAGCAACATCTATGATTGTGTCTAAAATCACTGCAAGAATATGCTTGTATATGTGTGCTCATGTACAGAATGAGAGCAGGACAGATTTCAGTGGCAAGGCTCTGTATTTTAAATCTTTCCAAAGTTTTTTTCTATTGTTGATGCTGTTTCAGTCTTTATTTTCTGTCTTGAATTAAAAAAATAGCTGTTTGAAGGCTTTTGTGTTTTTTCCAGATATTATCTGTGAATTTATTAGAGAGCCTCTGAATGTCAGAGAACATGCTTTACTTTTTACATAATATATTTCAAATTAGAGATGAAAAAACCAAAAATCTTTAATGGTCTCATTTCACGACTTTTTCACTAATAAGTGGTGGACAGGAATGGGTTGTAGCCCCCGATTCCCCTCTGCTCCCTCCTCTCCCTCTGCACTTTTATAAGTGTTGAAAAACTTGTTACAGTGACCCACCAACATCTCTTAAATGCTGATTTTCCTTATGAACCAATGACCTCATGCATGTGTATCTACCTTATCAGGGACACAACATTTTATCTGAGTCTGGGCTTGAGTGTATAAGCTAAGGGCTTGTCTCTGCCCCTCTGACAGGCTGAAGGATTTTAGAAGGGATGTCAAAAGAGCCAATACAGGCATGGCTATGTCCAAAAGGAAAATAGTGTGCACAGACTAAGATGTTGCATTCAGGTTGCTAATTTCTGGCTTTCCTCTTCTACCCTTGCTGTTGTTGTGGACACGCTCTCCTTTGAGCACAGCTGTGCAACCTGAAGAGATCATCTACAGCTGCTTTTTCATGCAGGAGAAGCTCCCATGGGAGCTTTCCCTCACCCATTTCAGATTGAGCAGCAAATACCTTCTGCTCCAGCTGCTCAAGCCTCATGAGACCATGTTTAGCCAAAGCAGGTAAGAAAGCATTCACATGAGCAGCTCTGATTCTGAGTGCAGTCATTGCTCCGAGAAAGGTGGTGAGGACAGGTGGGAGTGATGAGTTGTTCCCTCACCCAATACAACTGAGACTGAAGTGAATTTCTGACCTCTATGTGTGTGTGTCAGGTTTAAAGGTTTATTTGGAAGTCCTGTGTTTCTTATTTGATTATGAATGTTGCGAGTCCTTGAGGTAGGAGTCCTTACCAACAGCCTACTGGCTGGGGATGAAACATGGACTTTAGCACACATTTTAGACAGAGATGAAACAGAAAGCAGGAAGTGTGTGCATATTACATTACATAAAATGTAATTTATGAGTTTTTTTTATTATTATCATCATTATCCTTTCAATTATATACTCTGCTGCTGGGAAACTCAACCTGTGCCTAATTTACCACTCACATTCCTTGGGGTAAGAATAGCGCTAAAATGGGAGTTGCCAACCAGCTTCAGACTCAACAACACTGAATAAGGATTGGAAGCCTCTGCATGTTCCCTGAACACAGTGGACATCAGCCTTCAGAAGCAAAAAGGATAATGGTTTGCTATTTAGAGTGCCAGCAGCTCTGTGAAGCTGTGCAAAATTCTGTGTGCTGGATAAGGAGTCGCAATCATTCTGCAGGCTGCAGACTTCCAAAGCCCACTCGACTGGGCCACACGCAGTCCCAGATTTTATACTCCTGAGTAGGATGAAATAAAAAGATGCTGAGATAGATATTGCTTTGAGTGAGGGACCCAGTGAGAGAACTTCTCAAGGCTTCTGATCAGATGGGACATGAAGAGGAGAGAAAAGGAGCTTCCTACAAGGTCAGAGCTTTGTCAGCGAATGCTGCAGTGTTTCCACTAGCTCTCAGAAAGGAGAGTGATTTGCCTGGGTAATTAGGTCAGGACTGTAGTAGTTTGGCCTCCTTTTATCCTTGTTATGTGGATAACTCAGATTTAGTTTTTCTTCTCCACGGACTCAGCAGTACAATTTCAAAATTGACATGGTGCTTATCAGAAGTTAGTAATTGGATAGTGCAACCCATTTGTTTGATAAAGCTGAACAGTTCATTTTTGGCTTCTAAAAGCTAATAGGCATTGTTCCTTCTTTGACATTTGATTTTAATGGCTGTAATGTTGCTCCTGTCTCAACAGCTATAAGTCTGGGTGTTTTCCTTGACTCCATGCTTCCTCTGCAGGCTTCAGGAGACTGTTTTTAACACTTTAGCTTCCAGAGTAGCTTCCTCACTCCTCCATATGCTGCTGTATCCTGTAGAGCTGGCAAAGGCAACGTGCTAGGATTCAGGGGTGGATTAAAGCTGAAGGCAGAGGGACAGGTTTTCCCATGCCTGCATTGCTCTAGTTTATTTAGAAATGGTGTATTCATAAAAAATCCCCAAACCCCAAATACTCTCTGTTACAGTTTTGCACCAGCATGATTCCTAACCACCAGGAAAGATGGTTAGGTGAGGGAAAACCTAGATACAAAAGAGGTGTGTAAAACTCCTTTGACTCACTTGGCACTAAATGGACTTTTGTGAGGTATCACTTTTGTTACTATAGGACTGGGATATTGCAGCTCCTTTTTCTTTGGCCTTCGAGCAAAATCAATTCATGAACTATGCAACACTGCTTCAAGGCTCTTTTTATGAGACTAGACTAATCTACATATGACATTGTCCCTACTTTATAGTCTTTTAATTGGCTACAAGTAGCTT